CTTTAGGCTACCTGCTGGTTCCTTCCTCCTTGTTTTTGTGTCTCTCTCTGGCGAGCACCCTCTGGCAAAATGTAAAAGAAAAAAAAAGAGGAAGAAGAAGTAGATTGAAGTCAGGGTGCGAAGTCCTGAGGTCGAATCCCAGTTCTGCCCTCGGCACGCTTTGTGACCCCACACAACTCATTTCACTTGTTTCCACATCTGGAAAGTGGGGTAGTCATGCCTGCTGGCTAGAGCTGTGAGAAAAGTGGACTGAATAAATTATACAGCCTACAGAACACCTGCCATAGAGCCTTACTCGTACAGAGAATACAGCAGAGGGCTTCAAAATGCTCACAGAAAACGCATTATTATGGAAAAACTATGCATAAACGTCAAGACTGTTTTGCATCAAAATAAACTCATACTGTAATTTCATTTTCCCATGGACTTTTCTTTTTTATAAACAGGTTTTTCCCTTAGGGCGTGTGCACTTGCCAAAGACAGACACAGTGAGAGGGAAAGCGAGAAATCACCCCCAGGGGGGATGGCCGAGCTGCAATCCCTTCTCCATTCTCCTCCCAGGATCTTGGGCACGCATGTACATGTACCTGGTGTGATTTCCAAGCCACTGGCTCAGGGACTTGAACCACAGTCAGTCATGTGGGAGTCCAGTGATGTAACCACTACGCTATCTGCTGGCCTCACTCGTGCTGCCATAGGTACTCTTTTTAAAGTATTTAACTTTATTTATTTTAATTTGACCAGAGAGGGAGTGTGTGAGTGTGTGTGTGTGTGTGTGTGTGTGTGTGTGTGTGTGTGTCTGTGAGAGAGAGAGAAAGCCACCAGGTCCAGGACTCGCACCATGGTCAACCACATGGGTGTCCAACGCCCTTAACCACCACGCCCCCTGCCAGCCCCACCATAGATATTCTTGAAGAGAGCACCCACCAGCCTTGGAGCCCGATGAAGGTTTGAGTCCAACTTGAGCAGCTCTCTGGCTCTTTGCCTTTAATAAGTTCTCAGTTTGCCCTTTCATAACTTGGGTGTCCTGCTCGGAAAGACGGCTGCGAACCTTAAACGGACCTCACTACAGTCGAGACAACCAGTGAAGCGCAGAGGCCAGTAAGGATCACTTCCACACGAGTCTACCTTGGCAGTGGGGCGTGTTTCAGTGTGAGACTCCTTTCAAGAGAAGTCCTGGGTTTCATCGTGAGAAACTCGGGCTTGAAGGTAGGGTGTCACGAAGGACAGAGACGAGACACAGAGCAGGTGAAAGCCAGGGCTACGGCGCTCAGGGAGCAGAAGCCAAACTGAGCTGGAGCAGAGCCTGTGCATTCTCAATTAAATCAGATAAGCGGTAAGCGAGCTGAGCTACAGAGAACAGTGTACAAAACGCAGGACATTCTTTGAGGCCATGTTCCTGGTACAAGACCGATAGCTATGGTCACCCGTACTTGACGGTTATCTTGGCTTGCGGAATGAAGCCACACACAGCCCATGCCTGGAGCTCTACCCAGTTGACCATGTCGTCCCTGCGGCTTTCAACGCCCTTCTGCATTCTTTCCTTCTGGCTTCTCTCTCAGGCCTGAGCTCGTTTCCAGCTTTTCATGGTCAAAGGTGAACTTTGAGGTGGGGATTCTTGTGATGGTGTCACGGAGGCTGTGAGAAGGCACCTACATCCCAGGCACAATGAGCAAAGGAGACTAAAGACCCTATTCCTTCTCTCCTTTGTTCTATTTGCAGAGACCACTACTGGCCTCCCCAACCATTCTGCAAACATGGGGCCTTCAAAAATAGCCCACAGAGGGGCCGGCAGCTGGCGTGGTGGTTGAGGGTGCCAGACTCCCATATGGCTGACCACGGTTCGAGTCCTGAATCTGACAGCTTGCTTCCTCACTTTCTCTTTTTCTCTCACTCTGTCCCTCTCTAGTCAAGTTAAAATGAACAAGTAAATAAATAAAACAAAAAAAGCCCATAGAACACTGGCTCCATGGTCCAAATGGTTCAGGGAACCAGATCCCACATGGCTGATGATGGTTTGAATCCTGGCTCTGGGGGCTTAAAAAACATTCTGGGTGGGGACCAGCAGTTGGCGTAATGGCTTTGTCGCTGGACTCCCATGTAGTCGACTGCAGTTCGAGTCCCGGACCCAGTGGCTTAAACTCACACCAGGTGCATGTGCGTGCGCGCCCAAGATCCCGAGAGGAGAATGGAGGAAGGATTGTGACATGGCCATCTCCCCTGTGCATGTGCGTGCGCGCCCAAGATCCTGAGAGGAGAATGGAGGAAGGATTGTGACATGGCCATCCCCCCTGGGGGTAATTTCTCGCTGTCTGTCTCTGTCTTTCTGGTGAGTACACACACCTTATAGTAAAAACCTCTCCCAAAAAAACAAAAACAAAAACAAAAACAAAAAAACCCACAGAACTACCTGATGCTTCCGAGCACTGGGTAAGGCCAGCAGAATGCTCTTAGGTTGGGCTTCATTAATGACGACCCCCCAAGAGAGCACCCGTCATCACACCAGCTGCTGTTATCCTGCACCCAATCAACCCTCCCTCCCCTCACCGGAAGATAAAATGATTCAGCCCGCCTTCCTCTGGGTCCCTCAGGAACCTCAGCTGTTACAATCAGCATTTGCTGAGCCAACCCCAGCCTCTAGGACTCTTCGCTTTTCCTGACTGGAACAAAAGCACCCTTTGTTTCCCAATGGAAGAACAGGGAGAGGGCCTACTGCTATCAATTTGTCTGTTGAGCTGACATACCTTCTATGGTTTCATATTTCAACTTCTAAAACGAGTTTTGGAGGTTTTCTCCTTTATGTTCAGTACTCTTTATCGCACATCATTTTGAGGACTGTCACCAGGGTGTCTAATATGACTGAGACCTGCCAGTGGACCGCAAGGGATGTGTGGTGAGGGCAGAAACTGTTCCACTGGGGCAGAGTTTAGGTATGCCAACACAAACGGAGAATGCCCAGGGAGAATCCGGCAGCCTGGGGACCAGCAGAGAGCCGGACTGAGGTGCTCAGAACCCGACACAGAACCTAACGTGAAAGTTAACTGAGAAGTTCCTCAGTTAACATCAAGAATGGAAAATTGAGTGCCCTACAGCAAAAAAAAAAAAAAAAAAAAAACTAAAATAAAGGGGGAGGGCCAGCAGATGGTATGGTGGTTAAAGCACTGGACACTCCAACATGGCTGACCACGGTTCAAGTCCCAAACCTGGTGGCTTGCCTTCTCACTTTCCCTTGGCTTTCTGTGTGTCTCTCTCTGGTCAAATTAAAACAAATAAATAAATGAATAAAATTAAGTAAGTACCTCTTCAAAAAATGATTATAAAAAGTGGAAAATTGGTATTTATTTCATACCCTTAGTACACTGAGTTCTAGACCAAAGCCCTGTCCTTTGATTCTCAACATAACTGCCAGTGGAAAATTGCCCACTTACCTTTTTTTGATTCCATTTTCATGGGAAAAAAACTTTCTTCCTCATATGAATGCTTTGCTTAGTATGTCTGTAGTGTTTTTTTTTTTTTTTTACAGTGTCATTTCATTTATATGTCTTTAAAAAAATAAAGCTAAAAGAAACAATATTAAATGAAAAACCCCAGGTTGGAAAGACAAGGCACTCTGAATGTTTTGCTAACCCCTCCCAATCCTAAGCCTTTAAGCAAACACACCTTTCCAAACTCTGGACTCTCCCAGTTAAATAACACAACACGCCCTACCTGTTTCCTTTATTCAGCACCATTTAATGTGTTAAAGAACATTCTAAAAACTCAAAACAGAAAACTTCACAGTCTCTTAAAAATAATACATTTAATACATTCACAGAATTTCAAGTGAAAAACACACAGTATTCACGCTACAGCTTCTCCATCTTCCTTGACACCAAAGACATGGTACTTGAACTGCATTTTCTTGATGATAATATGAAATGTCATTTCACCAGTTAAAAACAAAACAAAACAAAAAACAACCAACATGAAACCACTCCAATCCGCAGATTCCCCTCCGTGGGCCTCACACAGCTGCCTGTGCAAGCGTATGAAACTCCCTGCCTCCACGCTTCTTTTTCCCTACCCCTGTTAAGAAAAATAATTCAGTATTTAGAGGTGTGTCTGTGAATGAAACAACATGCTTCAGAAGAAAAAAAAAAAAAAGCCAACTTATTTGTTGCATGTTGAAAGAGAAAACGAAGATTAAGTGAAATTTCAAGGGTACGAGGGAAACTGAGGCACTGGTTTCATTTATGTCTTTCTCATTTTAGAGCGCAGGAACTGTACCCAAAGGTGAGGCTAAGGAACTAAAAATGCCAAGAAATACCCCTAACGTTAACCATAAAGGAAGGCTGGGCCTGCTCTGCAGTGCGGCAGTAATACACTTCCCGAGAGAAGCTGGATTCCACGTGGCGGCTGTACTTGGATTCCCCGGCCTGGTCAGCCTGAAACACACATGCGTGCACCTGAGTGCCCCGGAAGACCGGACGAAGCAGATGATGTGACCAAACCCTGGAGGGTACTCCTCTCTCTGTCTCTGTCTCTCTCTCTTGTGCATATACACGTGCTTTGTCATCCATCATTAAAGGGGGAGAAATTTTTAAAGAAGTTAATAAACTCATTAGCTAATGTTTGTTAATAAACCAATAAACGATGTTTATGAAGAGCTTATAACATGGAAAAATATTTAAGTTACAAAGTTAATGAAAAAGTAGGATACAAAACTGTACATACAGTATGCTCGCAACCACATAGAACCAACCAACCAAAATATGCTGTAAAAATGGCTGAAGGGACCGGCAGGTGGCAAAGTGCTTGGAGTGGCTGGATCCATGTGGCTGACTGCACAGTTCCCAGACCCAGCAGCTTGAGAGACACGCCAGCCCCAAATCCTGACGGTGTGCACGCGAGCCCCAAATCCTGACGGAAGGCAAAGATGGAGAAGGGAGTGCGGTACGATCATTCCTCACGGAGAATGCTTCTCTCACTCCCCTCTACCCACCTCATGTCACTCTGGCAAAATTTAAAAACAAAAAAAAAAATTTTTTTAAATGGCTGAAAGAAAAAAGTTGAAAATGTTCATTGCGGTTGTACTTAAGTAGTGTGTACCTACAGTGATCTTTTTTCTTCCTGTTACTTTTCTGTCTTTTCCAAAGTAGTAGAAGGATTTTAATTTAAACTATTAAACAAACAAAAAATTAGTTTAATTTAAACTATTAGTTACAAAAAAATAAAAATAAAAAAAAACCCCAAAACCTATTAGTTACTTATTAGTAAGTCTGATAGAAGTATTGAGTTTGAGTTAATGAATTTATGTCTAGCCAACAAGGGTTTGCACATTTATACAATGATAAAACATTTCGGGTTACTCCATGAATCCACTGTTATGAGGAACTCTCCAGAGGCTGGGAGGCTTCGGCCTCTCCACTAGCTAGGTAAAAGTGTCACCAGATCCTGGCTGATGAAAATGCTGACTAAAATGGAAAACGGCACAGATTTACAAAGAGGAACAGAAATACCTCACTTGGCAAAAACTTCACAGTACTCCTTACTATTAGAATCAAACACGAGGACAGTCCTTTTTTCATTTTATCTGTGCAAATGTCAAGTGATGAAAACGCTACTGCCACAATACTGTAAAAAAGTCAATCCTGGTTTAGAAACAGAAATAAAACAGCAATGTGTTAACAGTGGACTGAGAGAAGCACAAGATTTAGAAAATTATAAAAAGTGCTTTCTATAAAAATGATTCCCTTTAAGACATTTGTTTACTGTACATACTTTAAGACCTCCCTCCCTCCCCCGAACATAAAAAGAGGCAAAACCAGGCCAGCTGGTGGCATGGTGGTTAAGGCAGGTGAATCCCACATGGTCCACTGTGCAGTTTGAGTCCTGGACCCAGCGGCTTAAAAACACGCTGGGGGCCCATATGCCCAGAATCGGAGAGAAGAATGGAGGAGAAAGGATTGCAGCAAGGTCATCCTCCTTTCTTCCAGAGATACTTTCTCTGTCTCCCTCCAGAGGGCACATGCACCCTGCAGCAAAATTAAAATACAAAAACAAGACTGGAAGATACCAGTGGAGTGGAGGGAGGCAAAAACCTCCCAACACTTTATACGAAGCATTCACTGGTTTGCCCAGCCGACAGACACGGACTGAAGGCTTACAATGTGCTAGGCACTGGGGTCTCAAAGAAGACGCATCCTGGCCTCAAGGATGTCTCCGTCTTCCCGAAGAAGAGGTGGACACATCACCGACTGCAGTCCATCGATTAGAAGCAGATGTCGCTGCTTTCTTATAACTAAAGGACACGCTGCGATTCTCACTGAATTACTTACACAGACATCCTAGTAGAAACTTTCCTGACTGACTAGAAGGCAAAAATGCAAATACCTGATAAATACTTCAAGAAAGGGCAGGCATTAGATTACATTTTGGGATGTCTCCCCATAAACTTCACAATGCCCAGTGAAGTCGGTTAACCTTTTAAGCAAAGGAGCACGCGTACTCTAAGAATGAGACTCCAAGAAGGTGAAACCGAAAGCAACAGGCTGGTCGTCTATCTAGAATAAGACTCAGCATCATCAGAAGTTGAGACACAGGAGTTCGGATTTCAGTGAAAACTGTCGACCTCTCCTCCCGTCTGCTGACTTTCAATGTGCTCCTGTGTCAGCCGCTTCAGGTCTTTCTGCACATTCGGGTGGTCTTCCAGGTCTTCATAAAGTGACCTGACGATGTCCAGTCTCCTGTAATTCTCAGGCTTGACCAGGCTTCGGACAACCTGGAGGCACCGCTCTTTCAGAGTGTACACTGTAAGGGCAGAAAACCGAACCCTCAGGAGCAGGCTCAGGCCCTGGGACAAGGGATGACCAAGAGACTGCCTGCCACGTCAACTGCAGTTACTAGAGATGGCTCTCCCTTCAGTTTAAGAGGGAAAAAACGAGCGTAAGTATGGGGGCGGCGTATTCCATGAATGCCCCCGATGGATACCTCCCCGTGCATGCTCTTCTGGGGGAACTTCCTCTGGAAATGGGCGGGGTCTGTGACGTGCTTTAAGTGCATATGGACAAAGTGACGCTGACAACTAAGAGGCCTAAGCCTTAAGGTCTGGTAACTTCTGCTTTTGTACCCTTGACACCCCTGAGCTCCCCTGCTGGACAGACTAAGAGGGACTGGCCCCGAGAGGAAAGGAAGAGGCCACGCTGCTGGCTGACCTGCCAGACAAAGCAGCCACACCAATACCACCGGCAGCAAAACGATCGCCTCACTGAGCTCAGCCTGGACTGCAGAATTAGGAACAAACAAGACGGTTGCTGTTAGTTTTAGGGCAATTGTCACGAGGGCACATTCTGCATGAATGGCAACAGATGACCAAAACAGTATGGAATTGGGTTTTGGGACAATGCAATTGCCTTTTTTTTGTTTAAAGAAAGAGAGTCTTTGTTTTGCTACAGGATGTTGTGTGCTCACCAGAGACATAGACAGAAAGTGAGAAATCACCTCCCTCCCGCAGGGATGGCCACGCCACAATCCCTTCTCCTCCACTCTCCTCTCAGGATCTTGGGCACACATGCACACACACCCAGTGTGAGTTTTTTTTTTTTTTTGGAGAGGTTTTTGCTATAGGGCATGTGCAATAGCCAGAAAGACAGAGAGAGAAAGAGAGATAGAAAGTGAGAAATCACCCCCCAGGGGGGAGGGCCACACCACAATCTCTTCTCCTCCATTCTCCTCTCAGGATCTTGGGCACACACGCACATGCACCTGGCGTGAGTTTAAGCCACACTCGAACCACAGTCGGCTACATGGGAGTCCAGCGACATAGCCATTACACTAACTGCTGGTCCCTCCCAGTGTGAGTTTTAAGCAGCCAGGTCCAAGACTTGAATTGCTGTCAACTACAAGGGAGTCCAGCGACGTAACCATTTATACCATCTGTTGGGCCCCTCAATTTAAAACTCACTGGAAACTTGTTCTGTGAGGGTATCTGTGAGGCCGAATTTACCAAAAGTAACTTAGCAGTGCTCTCTTTTGCGCACCCACTTCCTTAAAACTGTATCTACACATGCAGGTTAGTTTGAACTCTACGAAGCTACAGGTATTTGGGTTATTTTTTTTAAAGAATTATTTTATTTAACTTTATCATTATTATTTTCCAGTTTGATCAGAGAGAGACAGAGAGAAAAAGAGGAAAAGTGAGAAAGCAAGCCACAGGTTTGGGACTCAAACCATGGTTGGCCATGTGGGAGTCCAGCGCCCTTAACCACCACGCCACCTGCCGGCTCCCCAAAGTGCTTCTGAGACAACATCTTTGTCTAACATAGAACACATGAAGAACTTACTTTCATTTCATTTACAGTGGAGAATAAGACAGAGGAAAAGTAAATACGTTGCCTAGCATCCAGCAAAAATTAATAAGGCCTTGACTCCTCTGCATGGCCTTGCCTTTATTCATGACAACCGCATCTTTAAAAAGTAAGATTGAACATCAATACCTGGTAGTGTGATGTTGGCAAAAATAGGCTGTCCATCAACATTGAGGGATGGCACAAATAATTCGGTTTGGTTAACCAGAAGCCCATCATATGTCCCTGCGTCCCTGAAGAGCCAAAGGTGACCTGTTAAGACAAGCAGAGGCTGTTAAGGAGCCACACCATTCTGAATCAGTTCGTCTTTTCTCCATCTCCCTGACCAACAGGAAATGCTTGCTCCCTGGGCTGAAATATCACGCAAAGCCCTTCCAGTAACACTTCTCGTTCAATCCTCGCAGCAGATGGAAAACAGGTCTGAAGACGGAAGCGACTTCCTCAAGCAGCAGCTGGTAAGCCAAGGGCGTGGACAGTACCTGAGGCCGCAAACCCCACGCCCTTCATGCTGCCGTGGTGGGGAAGCAAACAAAGACTAGGTGAAGTGCCCAGCTGCAGACCAGCGCGGACAGCGACTCCTCAGATCTGCGCTTCCGTGCTGCACAAAACGAGGAGGTGCGGAACGTGGCACGCGGAGAGAAAAAGGCAACAGAAAAGGGCACATTCTGTATGACAGGCAAGATAATCCATGGTGTACGGTGTGGAAAGAGACTGTCGGCTTTAGGAGGGAGCGGGTTGAGTAGGAAGGGGCCGGTGGTGACATATGAGGGTGGTGGAAATATTCTGCTCCGTAACTTGATTTAGGTGTTGTTACAATCACCAAAACGCAGGAAACCCTAAGATACATACTTTGGTGTGTATAATTATACCTGAATCTTACAACACTCACATGTGGGGCCAGCAGCTGGCTTGGTGGTTAAATGTGCTGGACTCCCACATGACCAACTATGGTTCACGTCTCGGACCTGCTGACCTGCTTCTCACTTTCCCTCTTTCTCTGTCTCTCTCTAGTCAAACTGGAAAATAATACTACTAAATAAAGGTAAATAAAATAATTCTTAAAAAAAAAAATCACGTGCAAAAAAGGAGGGGGGAAGGAAGCGAATCTCCAAACCTAAGATTCTAAAGGGGCCAGGGGTGGCGTAGTGGCTAAGGTACTGGGCTCCAAGTACTGGCCCCAGTGGCTTGAAACGCATGCCAGAAGAATGTGCATGCATGCCCAAGATCCTGAGAGGAGAATGGGGAGGGGGTTGCACCGTGACCATCCCCCAGGGAGGGTGATTTCTCACTTTCCTTCTCTCTCCTGGCAAGTAAATGTATAAATATAAGTTCATATGTACTTAATATATACACATATACACACACACACACACACACATATATATGTGTGTACATATATATGTGTGTGTGTGTATACAGAAAAAAACTTCCATAAAGTCCCAAAATGCAAGATTTGAATCTGTCACTCACTGACTCCACACAAATGAAGTAATATGTAGGGGCCGGCAGGTGGCATGGTGGTTAAAGGGGCTGGACTCTCCAAACCTGGAGGCATGGTTTCTCTCTCTCTCTTTTGCCCTTCTCTGGTCTAATTAAAATTAAAAAAAATAAGGACCAGCAGTTAGCATAATGGCTATGTCGCTGGACTCCCATGTAGTCGACTGTGATTCGAGTCCCAGACCCGGTGGCTTAAACTCACGCCAGGCGCGTGTACATGCGTGCCCAAGATCCTGAGAGGAGAATGGAGGAGGGATTGCGGTGTGGCCATCCCCCCTGGGGGAGTGATTTCTCGCTTTCTGTCTCTCTGTCCGTTTCCGTCTTTTTGGTGAGTACCCTATAGCAAAAACCTCTCCCCCCCAAAAAAAAAAGTTAAAAAAAATTTTAAAAAAATGATATGTAGGCATTGTATTAAATATTATTAAGTAATTGGGGCCAAAAAAAAAAGGGAACTAGCAGTTAGCATAATGGCTATGTCGCTGGACTCCCACGTAGTCAACTGCGGTTCGCGTCCTGGACCCGGTGGCTTAAAACTCACGCCAGGCACATGTGCATGCGTGCCCAAGATCCTGAGAGGAGAATGGAGGAGAAGGGATTGCAGCGTGACCATCCCCCCTGGGGGGTGATTTCTCACTTTCTGTCTCTCTGTCTCTGTCTGTCTGGCGAGCGCACGCACCCTATAGCGAAAACCTCTCCAAAAAAAAAATAAATGAGTAAGTAATTGGGGCCAGCAGCTGGCATGGCGGTTAAAGGCACTAGACTCCCATGTAGCTGACCGCAGTTCGAATCCCAGACTTGGTGGATTCCCTCTCTCTCTCTCACTCTGTCCCTTTCTGGTAAAATTAAAATAAAGTTCAATAAAAAAATAACACTTTAAGAAATAAGTAATCTAGAGATGACTTAAAACATGGGAGACGAACCTAAGGCCTATGTAAATACTATGCTAGTTTAGATAAGGAACTTGAGCACCCTGGGAGTTTGGCATCCTCAGGGGTCCTGGAACTAATCCCAACAGAGTTGATGGTACAGCACTTATTCCTGGGGCATAAACTTACTTAGTGGGAATTTTTTTTTTTAATAACTATTTTATTGGGGCCAGCAGGAGGCTTGGTGCTTAAGGGTGCTGGACTCTCACATGGCCAACGGTGGTTGGAGTCCTGAAGCATGTGGCTTGCTGTCTCTCACTTTTACCCCGCCCCTTTATCTACCTCTTTCTGATCAAATTAAATAATAATAATACGTAAAATTATTCTTTTTACAAGAATTATTTTTATTTAACTTGATTTATTTTTAATTCGACCAGGGAGGGACAGAGCAAGAGAGAGAGAAAGAGAAAGCAAGAAAGCAAGCTGCCAGGTCAAGGACCCAAACCGCAGTCAGCCATGTGGGAGTCCAGTGCCCTTAACCAATACGCCACCTGCCAACCCCACTCAGAGGGAAAATTTTAAGAAATACCAACTGGTAGTTTTGTTTTGTGTGTTTTTTATTTTTATTTTTTTTAAGAATTATTTTAAGTTATTTATTAATTTTAATTTGACCAGAGAGAGACAGAGACCTGCAGGAGGTGTGGTGGTTAAGGTGCCGGGCACTCCTACAGAGCTGATCATGATTTGAGTCCTGGACCTTGTGGCTTGCTTTCTCACTTTCTCTCTCTCTGTCTCTCTCTGGTCAAATTCAAAATAAATAAATAAAATTAAATAATTCTTAAAAAAAAAAAGAGAGAGAGAGAGAGAGAGGGTAAGAGATGGAAAGCAAGAAAGCAAGCTGCCAGGTCTGGGTCTTGCACCGTGACTGGCTATGTGAGAGCCCAGTGCCCTAAACCACCACACCACCTGCTGGCCCTGTTGTTTTTATATGCGAGAGGGTCTGTGTGGTCACTTATAGAGATACAGAGACAGTTTTTTTTTAATAATTATTTTATTTAACTTTATTTATTTATTTATTTTAATTTGACCAGAGAGGGACAGAGTGAGAGAGAGAGAGAGCAAGAGAGAAAGTGAGAAAACAAGCCGCCAGGTCCACGACCCGAACCACGGTCAGCCATGGGGGAGTCCAGTGCCCTTGACTACCATTCCACCTGCTGACCCCGAGATTATTTTTAACCTACTAGATGGAGAAAGCAACCCCTATGGGAGATGGCCACAAGCACAATTCCTTCTCCTCCATTACTCTTTTCAGTATTTTAGACACACGTATGCAGGTACCTGGGGTGTTCTCTCTCTCTCTCTTTTTTAAAAGAATTACTTATTATTTTAAAAATTTCTCCAAAGAGAGATGAGAGAAAGTGCAAAAGCAAGCCACCTTGTCCGGGACTTGAACTGTGGTCAGCCATGTGGGAGTCTAGCACCTCCACCACCACAGGGCCTGTGGGCTATGCCTGGTGTGTTCTCAAGTCACAGGGTCTGAGACTCCTACCACACAGTAAGCCATGTGGGTGGGATCCAGCCACCTTAACCACTGCCACCATGTGGCCCAGTAATTCTTTTCTTTTTTTTTTTTTAATTTTTTATCAGGGCCAGTAGGTTGCCACAGCAAGTTCCCACATGACTGACCACAGTTCAAGTCTCAGACCTAGCGGCTTGCTTTCTCACTTTCCCTCTCTGTCTCTCTGGTCAAATTAATAATAATAATAAACAAAAATTATTCTTAAAATTTATTATATTTTTTCGATTTGCTATATGACACGTGTGCTCATTGAGGGCGAGGGGCAGTGAAAAAGAGAGCTGCCAGGTCAGGGAGTTGAACCGTGGTCAGCCATTTGTGAGTCCAGGGCCTCAACCACCATACCGCCTGCTGTCCCCTTCTCTTCCCGACTCCTGGAATTTTTTAACTGGGTAAAACATACATATCACAAATCTGAACATTTTAATCATTTTGAGGGGTACAACTTAGTACTACTGAATACATTCACATGATAACTAGTATAAGAAAGTTTATATCAAGTCAGACACATATTGAAAGACAAAATTCAGTTTTTAAATTTTATTTTATTGTAAATTATTATTTTAATTTGCTATAGGGCACATGTGCTCACTGGAGAGAGACAGAGAGAAAGTGAGAAAGCAAGCCACCAGGTCCAGGACTTTTTTCCAGCGCCCCAACCACCATGCCACTCGCTGTCCGCTCACACTGTTTTGCATAAAATAGGAGAACTGGGGATCCCTGGAAGTATTTTGGTCTTCGTCATGTACCACTGGGGGAAGCCTGGTGGAAAACCTGAGAAGCTTTAGCTCATGAGGTACACAGTCTGGAGGAAGAAGAGGTCCATCAGGATCCTCACAGTGGGTGTGAAAATGACATGCCTGAGGGCCATGGCCCATTACTGCCTCCACAGTAGGTAAGGCCTAATTACCCCTTACCTGGATGCCCACTCGTTTCCTAAGTGGCTCCCCCACCCACCCCCAAACCGCTTGGCAAGCTTTGTAAACTTTCCAGGGCTCCACTTCCCCGCGGGTAAAACCACCCCTGGGCTTCCTCTTCCATGATCTCATACCCTCTGGCGTCTCCATCGCCATCCCGGGCTGAGGGTCTTAGCCCACGCGGTCTGAGTCCAGCACTCTCACCTCCTACCTGGGGGTGGGTGGCAGCTCCCCTCCCGCTCTGGGACTCGCCCTCACTGAGCTGGAGCCTGCCCCGAGCCCCCTCAGCCCAGGGCGCCCATGCCCATGCCCGTGCCCCTGCGGCGTCAGGACAGGCTTGCTCCCGCCAGTCCTGGCTTTCAGCCGTCTGTCCCACCGCACTGCGTTCCCAGCAAG